GCGCCGGGGGTCGCCCCTCTCCTCCGGCCGCAGCTGAGCGCTCCCAGCCGGTGATCTGCGTTTTTGCCGCCCTTTGTGAGCGTTTTCGAAGCATCGCATTGGAACGCCGGAGAAGAAGGGCAGGTCTGTCATGTGTCTGTTTTCCAAGAGAAGAAACTGAGCCGTGGAGAGTAAAGGTGACTTGTCCAAGGTCACATTCCGAGAAAGGGGCAGGATCAGGATTGGAACCCAAGTTCTAACTCCAGCTGTGCATTTCACAGAGATGTTGGGTGAATCGCTGAATCTCTGGGACTTCCTCCCCACCCGCGCTCCCAGGTACTCATACACCAACGGAATTTAAAATAAAGTGTGTGTATTGCCCTCTCCCCCTATAAGATTTAAAGAGAATTTTCTGTAGACCCGGCCTATAAGAAGCTCTGAGTGTATTCTCTCAGGTTCTTTTTTATAGCCCTATGAAGCAGTTTTCATTTTGTTCTACAGATGAGGAAGTTGGGACCCGGAAAAAAGTGATGTGACTCCCAGTCTGGTGCTCTCCACACCACATCTTATGAGGTGTTACCTACCCAGACATAGGTAATAAGATCCTGCACTAAATTGTTCAAAAATCCTCTGCCTTTTTCAGCCCACCTCAGAGGGAATTTTTAAACCTTATTGAAAAACTCATCAATTTAACTCATAAAATTAAGAAATGTGTGAAAATCCACATTAGGAAAAATGTCTTCTGTAAATATGAAAGAAAATAATATGAGAATCCAAGGGTTTTTACATAAAGAGGAAATGTAAGAAAAAGTTGATACAATAGAAAAATTGAAAGCAAACTTGTTTTATTCACAAAAAGTGTGGACAATAAGTAGATGAAAAGAGATTTAAAGCCACAATAAAAGGCAAAATAAAACCACAAGATTTTCTCCCCTTTAGCTAATTAACAATGGTTAAGAGAAGACTGGAGGTGTAGCTCACTCAGTGATAGAGTGCTTGGCTAGCATATGCAAGGCCTTGAGTTTGATCCCAGCACTGTGTAAAAAAAAAACTAACAGACTTGACAAAACCTAGAGCTATTAATTTATACATTTGGGAGGGCAATTTGACTATGGATAAAAAAGAAACCTTTACAATGTGTTTATCCTTTAATCTAGCAATTCCACTGACTGGAATTTATCCTAAAGAAATGATTGGAGAATCACACAAAAAAATGCATAAAGATGTAAAATATAACCTAAATTTCCATCAATAAGCACTAGTTAAAACATGGTACCCCTTTGTGCAATGAAGTATTATATGGATAATGATGATGATTAGGTTAATGCTTACTGACACGGAACATGGCAGGATACTAATATGTATAAGAAAATACTACTTTTCTAAAATATATATGTGTAGACATACACAGAAAAAAGTTATGAAATCTATAGAGCAGTATATTAAAAGTGGCTTTTGAGTAATACGTAATGACCTTTAATTTTCTGTGTTTTTTTCTAGTGAAAGTTTTTGTTATAACTTTAAAAAGATGTTATTTTCTTTTAAATTATACTTTCATCCTGCTTTTTATATAAATAAATTTGCACTTTTAAACATTTTAAAGCATTTTCACTGGGCCTGTAAATTGTTAGCAAGGGCATGACAATTTTTTACAACTGAAATTGAACTCCTGGCTCTCCTAAATCAGGTGTGATCCTAGGTCCCTGATTGCTAAGCCACAAAAGGCTCCTTCTCAAACCACTCTTTCAGCAGCTTCTTTGCTAAGTTTGACTTCCTCCATGCTTCTTTGCTGACCTGTGTCTCAGTTCTCTATATTCTGCCTTAAATTTTCATTTGTCTGTTGAACATAGGCAGAAATACTAAGAGGAGACAACTGTTAAATAAAAAGCAAACAGCCCTGGGGCCATAAATTGCAATTTCATTTACATCCACTTCTTCCATTTAGGAAAGAAAAATTCAACACAGATTTCTCAGAAATTTTTAAATTGAAAAAGATTCTACTTCACAGAGACTTGGATCACACAATCTTGGTGAGATAAAAAGAGTCTTAGAGGTTATCTAAGAAAAACCCCATCACTCATTTTAATATTGGTGATCCCAACATACAAGACAGCAAAAGAATGTGAGACTCACTACATAAAAACCACACAGAAAGTCTAAAAAGAATGTAGATTTCTGAACACCATTCCAGACAGTCTGGGTGAAACTCATATCTCTGTTTAAAGTTCGCTGTATAACTCAGACACAGTGCCAGGTTTGGAACCCCCCTGAACAGTCGTAAATAGCAAACAGTCATAAAATCTCAGTGGCAACATGAAAAAATAACCAATTCTCATAGATCTTACCATAGGTGGCTGGGGTCTACCAGGTGTAATAACATTAGGCCCAGCTGTGTGGCTGTGCTCTAAGCTGCAGATCCAGGAACGCATGGCTCCTTCGTACAGCTGAGCTCAGGTCAACTCCACCAATGTTCATTCTGGGGTCCTGGCTGAAGAGGCCGCAGTTACCAGAAGGAATCTAATGGAACCAACAGTGATGCACAGAGAGAGGCCCTACATGCAGGCACTTTTCACATTGCTGCTTGTACCTGTCTGCTAACATCCCACTTGTTTTTTGTTTGTTTTTTGTTTGGTTGGTATGTAGTCAGGGTTTGCAAGGGAGTAGATTTAATACAGGACACAACTTTATAGGATTGTCTTGTAATAGTCACCCAAGAAGTCAAATGCAGAACAGTGCAAGAGATCTAACACCACACTTCAGACCTGAAGAATCCAGTGAAGGGCCTGGATCGCTTGGCATTGTCCCACACCAGTCCAGCCAAAGGCCTAGAACTCACAGCAATGTCTCCTGCCAGGCCATAGCACCAGAAAGGCCCAAGGGAAGTGGAAGCTAGAAAGTCTATGCCAACTTGGTTAAGGATCTGTGCCAGAAGGCTGAAAGATCTGCACAGGATCCAGGAAACAACGCTCAAGACAAAGGCAAAGACCAGAGCTCCCTGGAAGAGAAGAGCAGCCATCCCCAGCTGTCAGACAGAAGGGCTGAGTTCATATCAGGAAAACCATCCACAACAAAGCTTCTCCTGGGAAATCAGCAGCATGCAATCATGCCCTCAAGTTCTCCTTTTATGTCATTCAGACAATAATCTTCTGGTGGGTCTTCCACACTCACACTCAGAACCACACTGAGTCAGTTGAGCAGGGCGTTTCCACTCAAGTTGACCACTAACCTACCACAGTTGGGATTCTGGTTTGGTTTGGTTCAGTTCGGTTCAGTTCAGTTAAGTCCAGTTCGGTGACAGAGTCACCATGTGTAGTTCAGGCTGGCCGTGAACTCACTGTGTAGCCCATGTAGCCCATGTGGAGATTACTGGCATCACCACCACACCAGATTTTCATCCCACTTAAAAGCAGTCCTAGAGCTGAGCCCAAAGACAAAAGGTATAGGGGAGTCTATTCTTACAAAAGTAAACTTTGAACAATTATGAGAGATTCTATACTTGAACACCATTAGTTGTGCTCTAGCAGAAGTATTTTCAGTTCCAAGTAACAGAAAACTCACCCCAAATTAATTTACAAAGTGATTTCATGGCTCAGGGTAAAAAAAAAAAAAAGGATTTTGTCCTCAGTAAAGCTTCACTCATGGAAAACAATGCATAGCTTCAAGAAACCTTTATGAGCATTTGTCAAATGTTAGACACTATAGCAGCCTTTGGGGACAAGAGAGAATCCTGCCTTCACTGTGTGGGGAGAGATATCTGAAAATTAACAGTTACACCACAGTGTGATAAATACCAAATATAAATGGAGTGAGGGTGGGGTCTGAGTAAATGGCAAATCCCATTCAATACTGCAACCCTGCCAAAATCCTGGCTTTTCTGGGCCTCCTGCTGGATGATCTTGCTGCATAATGAAGACCCAATAAATAGTAATGAGACACCTTGGGGCTTACTAATTGGCCCTGGTAAGAGAATCAAAATGCTTGAGCCAGAAACAGGGAAGGGGTAAATTATGGTGGAGCCCTAACACTGCCTGGAATTGAGCTCTAATCCAATTTGAGAAACCAGACCCTACTTCCCACAGAGAAGGGTCTTTTAAAAAATGACGACAAAAAAAAGTAAAAGAAAGTATATAATGTGATTGATTCCTTTAGCAAATTTGTACTGAAGAGCTAATCCCATCCCACAGAATTCACTGGTGAATACAATAGATCTGGTCCCCCGTCCTCTGGAAGTTTAGTTAGATCTTAAGTAAATAAATGTAAATCTACAACATAGTTAACAATTACCCTGAAGAGAAAGGTCAGAGTTTTACCTAGAGGAGAGATGCTTCTACCAAGATCAGGATAAGTGCAAGTTAAGTGGGAGTGTCCTAGGCAGAGGGAACGTGAGCAAAGGACCCATGAGTAAGAGAGTCTGAATGTTGGCCAAAATAAGAAGGCCCTAACAGTTGTTTAGAACTTCATTCAGTGACTCAACAAATGTTTACTGAATACCTGCTGTAATCTAGGCACTCTTCTAAATACAGAGAACAGCAGTGAACAAAACAAGGTCCCTGCTTTTCATAACCTTACACTCTAGTAGAGAAGATGAGATAATAATGTTGGATCATTCGATAATAACTATAACAGTGAGAACCTGCTGTATCCTGGCTACTGTCAGGTACTTCATATTTATTGTCACTAATCTTCCTATCCACCTTTTGATAGGTGTTATTTCCATTTTATACATGAATCAAAGCCCTCATCAAGTACCCAAGTCTACAAAGCTAGAAAGTTGGAGTCACCTGGTTCATTCTAACCCCAAAGCCTTACCACATCTCAAATATGATAAGATGGAGAGCATCATTGTCTGATAGAAAATTGAGCCCAAGATTGGCACCATGAAGACTGTAGCCAGACTACTCACAAAAAAAAAAAACTGATATGGAATTAGCCTAGGTACTCATCAACAAATGAATAGCTATGGTACATCATTCAAATATATATATAGATATAGATATAGATATAGATATAGATATATATAATATATTTTATATATTATATTTTATATATTATTATATATTGTATTATATGTATTATATACAATATATAGTTACTATAACATATATGTGTATATATTTCTGCCATTAACAATGGAATCCTGTAATTTGCAGCAAAATCTTAAGGACATTATGTTTCTGTTAAGTGGGAAAAAAATGAGGCACAAAAAGCCAAGTACCACATGTTCTCTCACACATGTGGATGCAAAAAAGAGTTAACCTGAAAGTAGAATAGTGATTACTAGAGCTTAATAAGGGAGCATGGGACAGAGAGTGGTGGAAGAAAGATAGATGTGATAGATATACACTCTATGCAAGTATGGAAATATCACATTGGTCCTCATTAATATGTAAAATTTGTTTTGTTTTGTTTTGTTTTTGTACTAGGGATCAAACTCAGGACCTTATGCTTGCCAGACAGGCAGTGCAACCACTGAGCTAAATCCTCAGCCCAATATGTACAATTACTGTAAATTACTTTTTAAAAAAGGCTACAGCCAGGCTGGGAGTGTAGCTCAGTGGTACAGTGTATGCATAGCATGTGCAAGGCCCTGGGAT